CCTGCTGCCTTCTTCTCATTCTCTTCTTCCCTCTAAAAGTTTTTTTTTTAACATTACACTGATGTCAATTGTTGCCTTCATTTGAAATGTTAAACCTTACGTATTTTACCTCATGTGGATGGAGGGTACTTGTGAGTGTGTTTCAGCAACAAGGATGTTCTCAAGTTTCCAAGTTTGAACACTGGTGTTCTTGCTTTCCTGCAGACGGACAGTTGTGTTCATACATCTGTAGCCTGGATACTTTTTCTCCCCCCTTATTTTTATGTTGACGGATAGATAATAAATTTCGTATGTTTAAAGTGTACAATTTGGTAAGTTTTGCCAGGTGTGTCCACCGTGCACCCGTCACCGCCGTCGAGATGGTGCACCTCTCCCCCGTGTGTGGAGTTTCGATTCACTGGCCCCCAGGCCATTTTCTCGGAGGTTTGTCTGTCACGTTCTTACATTTTTCCATTTAGTTTCCTCAGCAACCTCTTAGCTCTCCTTTATTTTTCCCTTAGAAGGTAGTTTCCACACCTGCTGTAGAAACTAATATGGTAGATTTCTCCAGTCTTACATGAAGTGATGCTTTGTGGGCATAATGTAGTGAACAACATAGTTCTTGGCCAGACTGTCCTGGGATTTTAGGGTGAGAGATTTTAAAGATGCTAATTTAAGCTTCTCGTGGTTATTCTTCTAGAGGACGTTTTAAATTTCCATTTCACTACCCATTTCTTGTTACAGAATAATTATGCGTAAGAAACAGTGCTTGCGTTTAAAGCCCGACTGCCACGTGTCCCTTCTCCTGAACAGGGTCGAATTCCAGGAAACACTGCTGGACAGCAAAACACAAACTTCACTGGCAAACACCTTTGAAGTTCTCCTTTTGCGCCTCTCGTGTTCAGACGCCCCCGCTGTCCGGTGCACTGCGGGTGTCTGGCCTGCGTGGGGTGCCTGCCTCTCCTCCGGCAGCAGGTCCTCAGCTCCTCTGCACGTTCTGTGCCCACAGGCTCTCTTAGCTGCTCGGGTCCCCGACTCAGTTCTGTAGTGTGTGAGCTCCTTGGCCCGTCTGGCTTTACCCGCATTTTCTGTTTGCCCATTACCCAGATTTTATTCACAGGTGCGAGCCTGAGTTGATTTTCAGAGAGAGTTGGGAAGAACAAGAGTTTGAGGAGAGCAAGTGAGGATTAGGGCAGAAGTACTGTTACTGAAAATCCAGCCTCTCCAACAGCCAGACTGAGACGCGGCGGCGGAGACTGGGAGCCCGTCCTGGGGCTGGGGTCTTGAGTCTGATAGAAGAGCTGGGTGGGACAGAAAGGCAACAACAAACAGGGCATTTTTCCAGGGTGCCCTATTCTTCTTAGTCTTGATGAATCCGCCTGGAGTCACGGGGAGACTCTGGAGGGCCTGGT